GAGTTACAGTAAAACTGACAACAACTAGCATGCTAACTTGCACATTTCTCGATTATCAGACAATAAAACACTTACAATTAATTAGATGCAGACAATACACAAGGACTTATTTAGACCTGAAGAGCTGCTTATACCACATACTGTATGTGCACTGGGAAAGACACATTCTGCCCAAACACATGGCAAAAACAGGTACAGGAGATTTAAGTATAATTTTTGACACAGTTCTTCACTTTTTTTCCAGTGGAGATTCAGTTCAAAGGAGCGTTCACATTTAAACAAAGGATTTAGTGCTAAGCTCATACAGGAACCTGGTGCATTCCAGAACACGGTGTTATAGAGATCTGAAGTGCAGGTCAGCAGGTTCACACATAACAAGACCCCGTGGAGACGCAGGGAGATTTAACGCTCTTCATTGTTTTACCTCAACAGCTGCAGTGTTTGTGAGGGGGTCAGTGCAGCGGGCCTTTCATATCTACCATTCATACAGTTTTTCAAGAGTCCATATTCCTCTGTTTTATGTTTTATGTTTTACTCTAATGTCATTTCCTCCTCACAAACAGAACTGGAGTTGTGTTTTGTTTCATTTACATTCACAAGCCCTGCACACTGAGGCTGTTCCACACTGTGATGTCATGTGGTGATACAGGAAGTGCTCCATTGTGTCATCATTTCAGATCATTTCAGCTCTGGGATTTCCAAACTCTACTCAACTAAAGGGAAAAGGAGACTAGTACAAACTCGAATCGAAATGTTGTAAATGTCACTTGCTCGTCTCCATGGTCAAGTAACAAGTCAGATCTGTGGAGAGGCGATCCCTTGTGATGTCATGTGGTAATACAAGAAGTGCTCCACTGTGTTTTTAAACTCCTCACACCTTCACTAGAATCATTTGGATCATTTCAGCTCTGGAATTGCCAATCTCTACTGAACTAAAGGTAAAAAGAGCTGTTCACTTGAAAACTAAATGACAACTACATGCAGTGTTGGGAAGGTTACTTTTAAAATGTAATCCCCTACAGATTACAGATTACATACACCAAAATGTAGTTTGTAACGTAATCCATTAAATTACTTAAAGTGAGTAACGTAATATGAATCATTTGGATTACTTGATATTGTTATGCTTTTTAAAACTTCATGAATGTAACAACCACATCCTGAAAATTCTTGTTTGTTCTCTTCAAATTGTCTGTTGAGCCCAAGTCTCCATGAACAGACTTTTGTTTATTGTAGAGAAGCAAAGACGAGGAAATCTTAACATGAGATGTTTTATCTACTAAAAGAAAATAAAAAAAACCTTAAGTCTTTCCTTAACTATATTAAAAATATTATTGATGGAGAAATGATTTTTATGTGAGATCACCGTAAATTATGTCCACCTACTGTTAGTGTCATATTGTTTAGACCTGGTTTAGTCCTGGTTTAGTCCTGGTTTTAGTTCTGGTTTTATTCCTGGTTTTAGTCCTGGTTTAGTCCTGGTTTAGTCCTGGTTTTAGTCCTGGTTTAGTCCTGGTTTTAGTCCTGGTTTTAGTCCTGGTTTAGTCCTGGTTTTAGTCCTGGTTTAGCCCAAAATGTGAAAACAGGAAAATACCGCCATGTAATCCATTTATTTCAACAAAGTAACTGTAATCCAATTACCACTCATGGAAACAGTAACTGTAACTGAATACAGTTACTCATAATTTGTACTCTGATTACGTAACTCCAGTACATGTAATCTGTTACTCCCCAACACTGACTGCATGACATCACAAGGTGGAACAGAGCATTTGGAGCTTTGGAGATGTAGACAGACTCATTATGCAGAGTTACTCAAACATGTGAATAAAACAAAACACAAGTCCAGGTGTGTTTTTGAGGAGGAAACAACATTAGAAGTGTAAATGCACAGGAGTCAGTTTTCTGTAACATAGGACATTTTAAACATAGATTAATAAGTGTGGTTTCAGATGTGTTTTTAATATGATGGGCTGTATTGGGCGGCACAAACCTTTGACCTGCTTTGCCTGTTCTTATTAATGATTGACAGAAGTGGGTCAGTTAAGCTCCAGCCTTTGGTCTCATTGGATTTCCACTGCCCCTTAGAAACAGGTTAGACTGCAACCCAAGGGCATTTAGTATTAAAGCTCCTGTATTACACAAAACGGACTATTGTGAGCTTTAAACCTGGTTATAATCTTCCTCAAAGTGCTCTGTCCCACCTTGTGATGTCATGTAGTGGTAGTTTTCAAGTGAACAGCTCCTTTTACCTTTAGTTCAGTAGAGATCGGCAATTCCAGGACTGAAATCATCTAAATGATTCTACTGAAGGTGTGTGGAGTTTAAAAACACGGCAGAGCACTTCCTGTATTACCGCATGACATCACAAGGTGGAACAGAGAGTTTTCTACCGAGTGAAGAACTAAATGTGCAGGGTTTGTGTGTTAAACATGTGAATGAAAAGAAACACAACTGCAGGTCGGTTTGTGATGAGGAAACAACAATAAAACAGATCAGAAAATAGTGTCATGTAAGACCTTTAAACTATAACAAACACTATTTCACTTTTTTATATTTTCTTCATTGTAAACTTTAATATAGTCTGTCTTAGCTTACATAAAATAATAGACTTCCTGTTCAAGACTGGAAAAAAAAACAAAACTTCTTCACAGTCATTTCAGTAGAAGGAGGAGGATTCTGTTTACGTGTCTTTGTAGGAAATATCTGTGACATTTTTTTTTAACTCAACACCTTTGACTCACAGATGACATTTCTTATATAACAGATGGCAGCAGTGGGCGGGGATAGGGGGTTGGTGAAAACATTTTTTATTTTATTTTTTTAACAAAATATAAAAAAAACAATACTTAAAACAAAGAAACACACATACACCAACACACACAAATGTATTTAGAATAAAAAAAGTAAAGTGGTTGTGCAGCATGACCATACTGCAGGCCCCTTTATATTTATATTTTATATATAATTATCATTTCATTTTTCCTTCCTTTTTTTCCTCACATTTTTAATAAACTCTTTTAATCACTTTACTTAAAGGTTGTATGGAGGATTTTTTTTTTGTTTTTTTTGTTTCAAGTAATATAGCATTATAGAGGTGCAGTAGCCTTTAATTATGATGACCTTTCATCATCTGGACGCCAGCTTTTGCCTTAACGACACGGCCTCGTTATCTGTTAGCTGACAGGCTTCAATTTACGTTTTACTAACTGACCTTTACTGGTTTACGTACGCCTAAGTCCACAGACGCAAGACGCACAGACGCTTTTACTCCAAATGCAGTTCTTAGCGGCTTTTTGACCTTTTTCCTCGCAGTTAGCACAAAGTTTGTTGCAATGGCAGACAAGAATCCAGGAGCAGTTAGCCGCAAAAGAAAGTTTTTTGAGGTCGCTGAAAGAAGAAGACAGGGGAAAAGCAGCGAAGCCAAACTTGATTCTTGTATTCATTCCAGATGGCGCGACTGAAGCAGACGCAGGGTCTAAAGACTGACGCATTGGTCCATTACTCCTGACAGGTTTCTGCTTATTATGAAAACGTTTTATTTCCAAGAGCTTCATTTTTCAGGACACGAAAGCGATTTATGTCTGAAAACGTAATTTTCAAGGCAAGAAAGAGTCCGCTTGCTGCTGCGTGTTGTATTTCATTCGCACTGAATCTCCGCGCATTCTCTGCTCCCCTTTCCTATTCCTGTCCCGCTGCCCGTTCCGCTCTTCCCCCTTCTCCTCATTCTACGGGCACGGAATCTCCGCGCATCCCCTCCTCTCTCCTCTCTCCTCTCTCCCTGCTCTTCTCCCTGCTCCTCATTCTCGTCCGCGAACGAAATTACACCCGCTCCCCCCGCTCCTCACTTCTCCGCCTTGCCTAACCAACACTGTATAGTTGTTTACAAGTCATGTGCATCACCGGCTGTAAACAACCTGTTTCTGGCGTAGTGAGGAGGCGGGAGGAGCGTTTCTACGTAGGGAGCTGTAGGGGAGGGGGGTGGTTTCACGCATCAACATTTGAAAAAGGACAAACAGTCGCTGGATTTCTCGTTCCTTGGAAAATCCTCTATACATTTAACAATATTATTTTCACCATGAGCCTTTCCTTTCATCATCTTTTACTTTTTACTACAATCTTAAAGCAGAATTTTAGAGGTATTTTCTTTTTTTCCACCCCTTTATGATGATGATGATGATTATTTATTTGTTTATTTGTTTATTTTTTCATGGATTATCTCATTGTTTTAAAATATAAATTATGAATTATCTTCATTTTCTAAGCACTCAAGTCTCAATTCCAAGAATATAATACAGGATTACTCAAACTTACATGAATCAATTGAAATCCAAGTTTGAGTGAACTAATGATGAGGGAACAGTGTAATAATATGATTTAACACACACAAAAGTACATTTTGTATAATACGTCTCCTTTTAAGAAAACACATTATGGTATTTTTGGTGCATTTTGTATTAAACTATAACTTCCTTAGATAACGGTTTGACCTTGTGGTCTCTGTAAACCTCAATCACAAACACACCTGGAGTTGTGGTTTTTTTATTTTTATTTTTTTATTTTCACACAAATCCTGCAGATTTAGTTCTTCAGAAAACACCCTGTTCCTCCTTGTGATATCACAGGAAGTGCTCCGCTGTGTTTTTAAACTCCACACACCTTCACTAGAATCATTAAGGTAGTTTCAATCTTAGAATTGCTGATCTCTACTGAACTAAAGGTGAAAAGTAGCTCTTGAAACATGAAAACTACCTCTTCATGACATCACAAGGTGGAACAGAGCATCCATTTTGTGTCATATAGGACCATTAATCTTATCTATGGGGCAGGTCAATCAATCAAACTTTATTTATAGAGGCCGTTACAACACTCACTGTGACCAAAGTGCTTCCCCATAAAAGCAGCACAATATCAAATGTTCAAAACATGAAACATGGTCGTAGTGTTTGTCATCGTGTTATGTCTGATCAGTCAAATGACTTTTTTTTCTCCATTTGCAGATTTCCGATATCCACATCAGCCGATTCCATGACCCGAAAAGGATTCCTGATTTTGAGAAGTTCTGCACTGAGACTGTGGATGTGATCAAACCTGCTCTGGTGCTCGCTACAGGTCCAGAATGTTCTCTAATATTTTCTGACAGTTATACTTAGATTGAAAGGTCCTGTATTACACAAACTGGACTTTCTTTTGAGCTTTAAGTCATGTTAGAACAATATTTCCTCTTGGAGTTGTGTTTTGTGTCATTCACACATGTTTCTGAGTTACACTTTATTATGAGTCTGTCTACATCTCCAAAGCCCTAAACGCTCTGTTCCACCTTGTAGAACAGAGAGTTTGTGAAAACAGTGTCATATGGGCCTTTAAACATTCACATTAACTCTGTGTGGTGTTGTTTTATTTAACAGGAGACTTGACAGATGCAAAGACGGAGAGTAAGATCGGCTCCCTGCAGCACGAGGTGGAGTGGCAGGCCTATCACTCTGTTCTGAAGAGGTCCAGAGTCCTGCAGAAAACCAAGTGGATCGACATCAGAGGAAACCATGGTAACCACACTCACATTACACCACAGATTTAAAGGCACTGTGGAACTTTTCTGGTGGATGTTCTGCCGCCTCCTTGTCTTCATGCACATGTTATTGCTTTGCCTGGAGTGTATATCATTAATGTTATCTCCATGGAGACTAGCTTTAAATATATTCAAACCTGCAAGCAGCGTTAAAGGCCCTCACTGTCCCTTGCAGCAGCAGGATACAGGCCACTGTGAAGATCCTGCCTCTTGTCCCCCCCCCGTGTCAGGACCACAGCCACATCATGATGGCCTCTTTTCGACCGCATTTTCATTGTCTATGACAAACAGCAGCCTCCCCCAAAAACCCACAAATGTTTCCACTGGGCCAAGTAATGGAAACATATTTTCCACTCATTCTTTTTTGTCTTAAACCATAAAAACTAGTCATGTGACTTTGTCACATTGTGCCCCATCGTAAGTAATGCCCCTGTTATTTTTTTCGCAAGTCCACGACAGTTTGTCTTCTATGAGAGGGCGCTAGAGAGCATTGGGTTACATAGATTTTTGTTTTTTTTTTGCATATTTATAATGTTTTTTCGTCATCACAAACACACCTGCAGTTGTGTTTTGTTTCATTCACACATGTTTAACACCCTTCTCTCTAACAGAAAAACTCTGTTCCACCTTGTGATGTCATGTGGCAATACAGGAAGTACCCCAGTGTCAGAATCGTTTATGAATCATTTATCGTTTTATTAGAATCAATGATGCATATATATATATATATATATATATATATACACACATATGCATCATAAATATATATATATATATATGCAGCATAAACGATTCTGACACTGGGGTATATATATATATATATATATAAAAAAAAAATGTGTTTCTCACCTTCACGGTGGTTGGTCTCTCACCCTCATTCAGCTCGGGTCGTCTACCAGAGGCCTGGGAGCTTGAGAGTTCTGCGCAGTATCTTTGCTGTTCCCAGTACTGCACTTTTCTGGACTATGTCCATTGTTTTTCCCGGTATCTGTTGTAGCCACTCTTCCAGTTTGGGGGTTACAGCCCCGAGTGTCCGATCACCACAGGCACCACTGATGCCTTTACTTTCCAGGCTCTCTCCAGCTCTTCCTTGAGCCCCTGGTATTTCTCTAGCTTCTCGTGTTCCTTTTTCCTGATATTACCATCGTTTGGTATTGCGATGTCCACCACCACAGCTCTGCTCTGTTTCTTATCCACCACCACTATGTCTGGTTGGTTCGCCATCACCATTCTGTCAGTCTGTATCTGGAAGTCCCACAGGATCTTGGCTCGGTCATTCTCCACAACCTTTGGAGGTGTTTCCCACCTTGATCCTGGGGTCTCCAGCCCGTACTCTGCACAGATGTTTCTGTACACTATGCCCGCCACTTGGTTATGTCGCTCCATGTATGCTTTCCCTGCCAGCATCTTACACCCTGCAGTTATGTGCTGGACTGATAACTGCAGGGTATATATATATATATATATATATATAATGTGTTTGTTCATTAGAGGTTGGCAGTCGGAGGGCTGAGATTATCCAATGATCTATTGAAGATTTATGGAGTTTAAGAACACAGACAGTGGAGCACTTCCTGTATTACCACACGACATCACAAGTTGGAACAGAGTGTTTTTCATTTGAGAGAAGAACTCATCTTAAATATGCAGGGTTTGTGTGTTAAAAGTGTGTGAAACACAACACAACTCCCGGTGTGTTTGTGATGAGGAAATGACATTAGAACACAACAGAGAGGAGAAAACAGTGTAATGTGGAACCTTTAAACCCTGGAGTCTGAAGTGGCTCTCTGTCTCTCACTGCATCTTCTGTGTCGATCTGCACCACATCCAGGAAGTGCTATGGTCTGTGATTGGATTACCGTCTCTTTAATGTGAAATCAGAGACATGTTTTTCAGTGGCAGAATCGTTGGACACGTGAGCCGCTGCTGCTCTGTTTGACATTGTTATTATTCTACAGACGTGTGTGGTTTCTAATGGGGCTGCGGCACATGGAAAGTGCTCCGAAAATACAACTGAAGGAGCTCTTCTCCAACTACAAAACCAACCATTAAAGTCTTTAAAAACGAGCAGTGAACTGGGACTAGACCAGGACTAAAGTAGAACTAAACCAGGACTCAACCAAGACCTACAGGACTACGCAGTCTTAAACCAGGACCAGACCAGGACTATGCAGAGTAAAACCAGGACAAATGTAGAATTAAACCAAGACTAGACTAGGACTCAACCAGGACTCAGCCAGGACTAGACCAGGATTCAACCAGGACTGAAGTAGAACTAAACAAGGACTAAACCAGGATTCAACCAAAAGTAGACCAGGATTCAACAAGGACTAGGCCAGGACTCGACCAGGACTGAAATAGAACTAAACAAGGACTAGACTAGGATTACACAGGAGTAAACCTGGACTAAAGTAGAACTAAACCAGGACTAGACCAGGATTCAACCAAGAGTAGACCAGGATTCAACCAGGTCTAGACCAGGACTCGACCAGTTCTTAACTAGGACTCAACCAGGACTGAAGTAGAACTAAACAAGGACTCAGCCAGGACTACACAGGGTTAAACCTGGACTAAAGTAGAACTAAACCAGGACTAGACCAGGACTCAGTCAGAAGCCAGACGACTATACATGGTTAAACCGGGACTAAAGTAGAACTAAACCAGGACTCAACCAGGACTAAAATAGAATTAAACCAGAACTAGACCAGGACTAAACCAGGACTGAACCAGGACTAAACCAGAACTAAACCAGGTCTATACAAGGTGAAATCAGGGCTAAACCAGCATTACATTAAGGCCAAAGAAAAATGAAGTAAAATAAATATCAAACCAGGACTAAACTACAACTAAACCAAGATTAAACCAGGACTTAACTGGGACTAAACCAGGACTCAACACCACTAACCAGGATTCAATCTGGGCTGAACCACGATTTAACCAAATGTAAATTATGTAAATTAAAGGTGCACTGTGCAACTTTTCTGGTGAAGGTTCAGTTACCTACTTGTCTCCATGGAGATATTATTGCTGTGTTGTTGAAAATGTTCCGTGGTATGACTTTAAACATATATATCCAGCATTTATTCATTACAGGTGTTTCTGTTGGTCAAAAGCACAGTCATTCCTTCTGTGAATAGAGGCGCCTCTCCACAGATCTGACCTGTAATGTAGTGTAGTGCTGTAAAGTGCCTGCCTCCCTCATGATAGACAGGTTCATCTATACTGTGGAACATTCTAGGCAAAGCAATAACGTTTCCATGGAGATGAGCAGTGTACGAAGAGTGTACCTTTAATGTCTTAGTGAAAAAAGTTCTAATTTCATTTATGTTTTTTTTTCCAGATGCCTTCAACATCATGTCTCTGGACAGTGTCAACAACTATTTCCGGTCAGTATCCCACATTATAAACATTTCCTTCTTCTGTGTTTCCTGGACAACAGTCTGACACACACTGAGTCCACTCTGCATCATGGCGCTGAACGTTTGTGAATTTGTGAATTAGATTTTTTGACAGGAAGTAAACAAACCTGGAAGATAATCCATTCAGACAGGAAAGATCATCACAAATGGGGATTAGAGCTGGTCAAGTTTGGACAGAGCTTCTCCAAAACTGCAACTCGTGTGGAGAGTTTCCTTCCTGTAATCGTCAGCCACAGAGGTCTTACTTTAGACCTGGTTTAGTCCTGATTAGACCTGGTTTAGTCCTGATTAGACCTGGTTAGACCTGGTTAGACCTGGTTTAGTCCTGATATAAGATTACTTCTAGTTTAATTCTAAGTCAGTCCTGGTTTAAATTTAGTTAAGACTTAGACCTGGGCCTGTCCTGTCAGATCGGGAATAGTCTTGGTTTAGTTCTGGTTTAGACCTGATTTAGTCGTGATTTAATCCTCGTTTAGTGCCTTCTTTTGGGCGTATTCCCTGTTTGCAGTGATCAGTATCTACCAGAGGTGCTTTAGTCCTGGTTTAGATTCAGTTTAGACCTGGTTTAGACCTGGGTTAGTCCTGGTTTAGAACTGGTTTAGTACTGGATTAGTCCTGGTTTAGTCCTGGGTTAGTCCTGGTTTAGAACTGGTTTAGTACTGGATTAGTCCTGGGTTAGTCCTGGTTTAGTCCTGGTTTAGACCTGGTTTAATCCTAGTTTAATCCTGGTTTAGTCCTGGTTCAGTCCTGGTTCAGTCCTGGTTTAGTCCTGGTTTAGACCTGGTTTAGACCAGGTTTAGTCCTGGTTTAGTCCTGGTTTAGTCCTGGCTTAGACCTTGTGAGACTTGACACTCCTGTTGAATATAACAGTTGTTGAAGACGTTTTAAAATGTCTGGAGTGCATATTCAGGATCTCTAACATCATCAGAGTGTTTAGAGTGTGTTTGCTTTCATGTTGTTCTGGAATGTTCTAGACAGCAGCGGTCAGCTGCTTGTACGTGTGGACTGAGTCTATATCCAGTGCAGTGTTTTCTCTGGGGTCAGACATGTGATGTGACACTGGAGCAGGTCGGACTGGACCTATTATTCCACTCATCTCAAGCATCTGGGATTAAAATAGCAGCGATTGAACCTCCCTCTCACACATGAAGTGGGACTAAACCAGGACTAAACCAGGACTAAACCAGGACTAAACCAGGACTAAACCAGGTCTAAAGCAGGACTAAAGCAGGAATAAACCAGGAATAAACCAGGACTGAACCAGGAATCAACCTGGACTAAACCAGGACCAAACGAGGACTAAATTGAAACCTACTGAAAAAGTACACTTAACATGTCGCCAACTAAAATTCAGAATAAAAATAATCTTTAAATAATCTTTTTTCAGAGTTAAAAATTCAAAATGAGAAATTCAGTGGTTAGTTTTTAAAAGTTCAAAATCCAATAGAACCAGTGACCCCCCCATAGCCCCATGTGTATTAATGTACATTGTCATTGTATTGTCTTTATAACATTGTCTTTGTTTGTATATTGTCTTTTTCAGGAAGTACTCAGCCAATCAGAAAGTGGGTTCGTTTCACTACATCCACAGAACTCCATTTGGAAACTACTCTTTTGTTTGTGCGGACGCCACTCTGACCCCAGGACCCAAGAGACCGTACAACTTCTTTGGGATCCTCAACCAGGTAAAACATACATACATACATAGATACACATAGGGAATTCCATAACTGTTACCGAGCAACCATAAGGTCCACTGGGCCAAAAATCCTCTAATGTACACAGAATTTATGATTTGATGAATGAAAAAAACCCAAAAAACTTTATTTAGTTGAAATCATGAAATTAAAGTGTCAGAAAAATGTGTTTGTCACATGTAAATTGTGCCAAACTTTTGACAGAATTCTCGCAGTGATGACTCTCGACAATAGAACTTCCTGTAATTTAATCCAACTTTTCTTCACAAAATGCTTCTTGATTTGTGTAAAACTATAATTTATATTTACAACAGGTGTTACCCTGCGATATTAACTCAAAATGAGAGAATCATCAAAACTTTACATACACACTTTAAACACTGCAGTGCTGAAGGTTTAAATACAGTAGAATCAATACTTTACAGTGAACTAAACTAACAACTAAAAGGTGAGAGTGACTAACTGAAAAACTGTTGGCAAATGTTTGTGACTGTCATTTTATGAGTGAGAGGCTTGTTTAACAGAACAAACCAGCTCACCTGTTAAAACAAAGATTAAAGATTAAAATCTAACAGAGCCGCAGACAGAGCAGAGCCTACAGTTAGCATCACACCCTCAAGGAATGTTGATGAGAGCAGCAGCAAAGTTTCATAAAAAAAGAAGTCCAGTTGTAAACAATAACTTCCAATATCATTTTCTGATATTATGCAAAATTGACTCTTGTGAGCTTTAAGTCATGTTCTAATGTTGTTCCCTCCTCAAAAACACACCTGGACTTGTGTTTTGTTTCATTCACACAAGTTTGAGTTTGAGTAACATCTGTTCCACCTTGTGATGTCACGAAGTGGTAGTTTTCCACTCAACAGCTCAAGATGTGTGAAGAATCCCTCAGTCGTCCAGGTAGAATCCATGGCGAGGAGAAAATTCTGTTTGTCGACTGGACAAAAGTTAGTTTGGTTGAAGACGTTTCTCAGCTCATCCAAGCTGCTTCTTCAGTTCTGGTCAGATGCTGGTGGACACTGCTTTATATCTGCAGGAGGAGCTAACTACACTGAAACTAACACACACCTACTTGTTTACAGTTTCTGTTTGTTAGTTCGGCCTATGGACCTGTACAGTGTGTGGGGTCTAATGAGCAGAACAATTCATGGTCATAATGGAGCTTCCACACCTCTGGACAGATGAGAGAGCAGCAGTGGACCTCAGTCTGCTGTGCATCTCCACTTAAAAGCCGCGGGCCACTCATTTGAGGACAGTGAGGTACAGATTTTAGCCAGAGAGAAGAACTGGTTTGAGAGGGGAGTGAAAGAAGCCATTTTTGTGAAGAAAGAGAATCCTTCTCTAAACAGAAACGGAGACTCAGATACCATCTGTCTCCTATTTACAACTCCATCCTCAAACCTAAATCAAAACAAACAAGAGAACAACAGGTGTAGTCAGGTCAGGTCCAGAGGTGTGGAAGCTCCATTATGACCATGAATTGTTCTGTTAATTAGACCCCACACACTGTACAGGTCAATAGGCCCAACTAACAAACAGAAACTGTAAACAAGTGTGTGTTAGTTTCAGTGTAGTTAGCTCCTCCTGCAGATATAAGGAAGTGTCCACCAGCGTCTGACCACAACTGAAGAAGCAGCTTGGATGAGCTGCGAAACGTCTTCAACCAAACTAACATTTGTCCAGTCAACAAACAGAATTTTCTCCTCGCCACTCAACAGCTCCTTTTACCTTTAGATCAGCAGAGATTGGAAACTCCAGAGCTGAAATGATCCAAATGATTCTAGTGAAGGAGTGTGGAGTTTAAAAACACAATGTAGCACTTCCAATATCACAGCGTGACATCACAAGGTGAAACAGAGCGTTTTCAGGTTGAGAGAAGATCTCTGCCTAAATGTGCAGGTTTGTGTGTTAAACATGTGAATGAAACAAAACACAACTCCAGGTCTGTTTGTGATGAGGAAACAACATTAGAACAGAAATCAAAAAATTGCATAATAAGGAAACTTTTAAAGTGAACACAGACGTATCAAAGTGAATAAATGCTGTTATCCTCCTGCCCACCACCAAGAACTATGTGCTGTTTCTAGATGAATATTAAAACATTCTTTAGGCCAATAATATTTAACACAGATGGGAGCAGCTAAAATTAATATAGTTAAAATTGAGATTGGTGTTTTAATACAGCGAGTTCTTGGGTGTAGTCACTAATAGAAATTATCTGATTTTCAACATTTTTGCATTTATCTATTGGAAATTTCATGGCAAAGTGCAGTGTATTTTGTGTAATTTAGTTTGCAGTATGTAAATATTTGTAAAGTTTTGTGATGTACATGAGCACCCACGCCATTTTTGAAACTGCAGTGGTTCCTTGTTGTAAAGCACTTTGAGCTTTGAAGATGGAAAAGCTGTGTATAAAACTGTGACCATTTACCATTTATGTTGAAGTGAAGGCATTTTAGAGTTACGTTTTTGCAAGACGCCTTACACGAGCCCCCCTCTATTATGAATGAATAGGAAGAGGGTCAGGCTCTGGGGCCCTAAGACTGACTCTCCTGGGTTCAGTAATTACTAATATATTAACCATAAACTAGTAAATTCCAGCATAGATTTCAGAACAGTCCTCCAGCTCAGTTTTACAAGAGAGGGAATGTTGTGGTGTTTTTGTCTTTCATTCATTATTGCTGTTTCAGATGACATCACTGCATTCTACACAACAATATTAATGAACACAGAGGGAGAGCAGCTAAAATTAAAATAGTTAAAATGCTGAATTATGTTGTAACACAGTAAGTTCATGGGTTTAGTCACAAATTGAAAATACCAAGTTCAGCATTTGTGAATTTCACGGCAAAGTACATGTGTACATCTGTCTCTTGCCCCCGTCTGGGAGTCTGACATCAGCATCTTCTAGAATCTGAAAACCACCAACAGGGTTAATGTAGGATAAAGGTGGGTTAATATAAGTTTTCTTCTTCCCACTCCTTTTTGAGACGTGTGCTTTTCTGTCGTTTGCAGTATATGTTATGTAATATGTGTCTTAGCACAAAACTTGAAATAAAAACAAATCAGTTGTAATCAAGAGGGAAATCTGTCTGTGTCCCACATAGAACTTTGATCAAATCTGAAGGTCAACCCAAGATGATGTTGTATTGTTTTCAGTGGCCTGTGCTCATTGGCTCATGGGCCCAAAAATACTCCAAGCAGATATTTACAAACTGACTGTTGAACATGAATATTTGAGAAAATTACCATTTCTGACACAAATCTCACGCTTTTCTGAGCTTTCATGTGGACGGTGTAGAGCCCCACATATGGTCACAGACCAAATATGATCTTTTTGGCCCCTTCTTTGGAGCCAATGTGGGCACATTTAGATGCTGATCAAATTTTTACCAGAGAAACTATGGCATATTCTGATTAGTTTAAAGTAATAGAAACATCGACTATTAACTTACTTAATTTCAAACTGAATTTTTGAAAATGAGTCTCACTGGTCATTTTTTGTGGAGCTTAGGTGAGAATTCGTTCTCGGCCCAAGCTCCTGGACCTGTAATACCTGGAGCAACCACTAGTCTGTCTGAATCTGGACAGATGGGGAATGTCTTATCCTGTTTTTATTGTAGAATCGTGCTGTCCCCCATCTGGGACTATGACATCATCACATTCCAACATCTGAAAAACACCCACGTTTTTTTTCTTCTTCTCCTGTTTCTGTCCCAGACTCAGATGGATCTTCTGGACTCATTCAGACTGGAGTCCCTCAGCTCAAACCAGTCCATCTGGTTTGGACACTACACCACCTCCACCATCGTGTCACCCTCTCCAGGAGTACGGGAGCTCATGAGGTACCAAAAATAAAAACACTTATTTAGGCAATTTTAAACCACAACATTGTGACAGAGCAGGTCACGTGATCAGCGTGGGTCATGTGACCGGGTCATATGACTGGCCCACAGCCCTTTGGCTCAGAGGCTGATGACCTCACATGACCAAAGGCGTCTGCTGAGGTTTGACTTTCTGTTCCTCCTAAACTCAGCTGGGGTTCATTGATGACATCTTCATCAGAACTCACAAAGAGTTCACCAAGTGTGTTCTTCTGGAACAACAAGTCCTCAGATCACACACACATTTAGCTTGGTGTGTTTTAGAATATTAGTACACCCACATGTAACCAGCAGAGTTAGGAGGGATGCACTGATACTGTACTGATACTGATATCTAATATCGATACTGAAAATGAAATGGATCCTGTATCGGTTCTGTGATATTGGTTCAGTTGGTAGTTCAAACTGGATGTAGTAAGAGGAATCAGCAGGTATCAGCAGATGTCAAGGTATCGATATCAGTATCGATGCATCCCTAATTAGTTATATATTTTACAAATGAATCTTTATAAAACAGTTTCCTTGTCTCTCCTCAGGTCAGCCGTGGCATATTTGTGTGGGCACCTGCACACTCTGGGGGGTCTGATGCCCGTGCTCCACAGCAGACACCCTCAAGGAACTCTGGAGCTGGAGCTGGGAGACTGGATGGACAACAGACGGTAAGAACTGAACCCAATCTATGTTTTATCTGGAAAATACTACAGGCTGTGTGAAGTCTGTAGGAAAAACACCTGATTCACAATCACAGGGAGCCCTGGACTTAACTACAGTTATTACTTTTGTGCAGGTTACATTTAAAAACAGCATTTCTCAAAGCCTTGGAGCACTTCAGATGTGTTAATATCTTTATAGTGAATGAAGCTGGGATTTGACTGGAGGACTGATGACATCACTTACAGTCCCATAAGGACATACAATTAAGTTTATTTGAAATAAATTTGTTTGAATATTTTTATCATGTGACATTTGTGGGGGCGTTGAAGTTTCCATCCACTTAATTACATGTTTAAAAATGACTGTATCTGTTTTCTCTTCAGATACCGTGTGCTGGCCCTGGACCATGACCTCCTCAGTTTCTCAGACCTGACCTTTGACCGGTGGCCGGCGGTCGTCATCACAAACCCCAAAGACGCTCAGTACCTGCACCCGGGGGCGGAGCCTCTGGGGCGGATACAAAAGTCCTCTCACATCAGGTGCTGGCACTGCCACTGGCTCAACTGTTTGACTTACACTCTTTGTATATTGCTCCAGCCCACAGAGCTCATCAACTCTCATGTCCCTCTGTCCTGCAGAGTCCTGGCCTTCTCAGACTCGCCGCTCTCCTCTGTCCTCGTGCATATAGATGGAGTGGAGCTGGGTTTGGCGCACTCTGCTGGTGGACCTCTGTATGTGCTGCAGTGGGACTCCTCTCTGTACCTCACTGGGGTCCACACCATCTCTGTCACTGTTCAGGTACGAAGACACGACACGTTTAAACATTATAAAGTGCCACTATAGCATCAGTGAAAACAGTTTTTTTCAAGGCTGCTGTGTGGTGATTCTGATCAAAGTCTCTGTTCTCCAGGACTCCTCTGGACGGTCCTCGGTGAAGCAGCAGCTCTTCTCTCTGGAGGAGGGTCTGACTCCGAGCTTTGGCTTTGTTCAGTCGTTTATTCTCCTCACGGATCATCACGTTCTGGGACGAGCTGCTTTCGCCTTCACAGTTCTGCTGAACATCGGGGGGCTGCTGGTGTTCAGGAGGATCAGTCTGTCCAGTGGGAGAGGTCAGGACACTTTCATGAAGCACTGAATCAGACATGAGTTTGTTCAAGCACTGCCCTCTGGTGGACATGTTAGGATTCACAGAGCTGTAGTTACATTCAGAACGTTTCTTCAGCCCTGAGTCTGTGGTGTTGTTCCAGGTCTGTTGTCCAGAGCGTGTGCGTCGCTGCAGTTGGTCAGTCAGATGAACATGTTTTATTATTCACTGCTGCTCTTCAACCTCTGCACTGCCCTTGGTGAGTCCAGGTTTCACACATTCACACAGTCTATAAAAAGTGTTTCTATTTTGATTTCTCTCTCCTCTCTCTCCTTTCCTACTCTTCCTTTCTCCCTCCTTCCCTGTCTCTCTCCTCAGGTCCCTGGTTTATTGGCGAGATGATTGACGGACACAGTGGGGCCTGTTTTGCGTTTGGAGTGATCATCGATGGACACTTCCTGGAGGGAAGTCTCACTTATGTGGTCGGAGTCGTACAAGTAAGAAACTAATATTGTGATTAATGCAAGTACTACAGCACAGTACACAGGGGAAAACGGAAATGAAAGATCATAATAAATAAGGTCAATCACAGAAGGAGGAATCAGTAAATTCATAAATGTACAGAGCCTGTGTTATGATTAAGTCTGGACAGAATCTCTGCAGCAGAGACATCAGATTTAAACACAGAGTTTCTGTAGACACGTCTGGGCTCGTCCAGCTCTTCTGATCATAATTATAATAATGCATTAATCTTATACAGAGCTTTGCCAGACACTCAAAGTCACTCTACAATTGTGTGCTTTATTCACACTCCAAATTCATACTAGACAAAGTGTCTTGCCTAAGGACACTGAGTTTTTACCACTGCTGCCCCATTGTGACTCCTGGAGTCGTGACCAGGCCAAGTCCTGCTGAGCTGCTGAGATCAGACGAGGTCGAGCTTTGACAAACAGGTTTGGCCTGTGGTGCGTTCAAGACATGTATAAAATGCTCGAGGCATTTATGACGCTGTGATCTGAACGTAGCTTTAGAAACAAAACTCATTCTGATCCTCTTTGTCTCCGTGTGTCTCTGTGTGTCTTTGTCTTCGTGCAGATGCTCTTCTTTAACATGCCCCTCACCTGTTACCTGTGCTGGAGTCTGCACCATCGCTGCTGTGGTCACTGCTTCACGTCTCATCTACGACTCTGGACCCCCTCTCGCCCCGCCCCCTCAGGCCACGCCCCCTCTAACCCTGCCCCCGTCTCCCGCTGTTTGACCGTGGCGGTGCACCTGTCCATGCTGCTGCTCCTGTCGTGGCAGGCGCACTCGTGTTACTTCCTCCTGGAGACGTATGGACCCATGGCGTTCCTTTTGTCCCCGGTCCGGACGTGGGCTTTGGGGATGGGTTTGGTCCTGGTGCACAGAGTGTGGACTTGTCCCCTCCCCGCCCTGAGGCAACACAAAGCCAACAGCGCCACCTCCTGACAGTGACCGCACACTGCAGGTTTAACTCGTGATGTTTTGTTCTCACTGAACAAAAAGAAGCACTAGTATTGGACTCGGGCTCTGCAGGGGGAGCTGGATGTGGGCGCCAGATAATGAGATACACAGAACAAAAATCTCCTTAGAAGTGTTCTAATAATCATTCACTCAGCCATTCTGCACCTTAGAGATGCCCACAAAACTCTCCCAGTGTATTTATATACTAAAATATGAAACATTCTAATTATTCACTTGATCAGATTTATGATTAGGCTTAAAGAGATACTTTAACCTTTACAAAATCTTACCCTTATTTTAAAGATGCACGGTGTAACTTTCCTGGTGGAGAGTCCGTCACCAGCTTCTCTCCATGGAGATGTTGTCTGGAATGTTCCACATTATGGCGTCACACTTATTTGTCTCTTTGCAAACAGCAGGTGACACCACAGGGCCCAATGCACCAGAATGACACTTTTTAAGTTGATTAAAAACAGTTAATTTTGTTGAGTAAATGTAAGATGTGTATGTTTAATGTCACACATCTCCATGGAGACACGCACATGGTGGATCCTCCATTAGAAAAGTTACACAATGCACCTTTAAGTCAACAGATGGTGCAAAGGAAAGTTGTGATGTCTAGGCCCCTGGTTTAGTCCTGGTTTAGTCCTGGTTTAGTCCTGGTTTAGTCCTGGTTTAGTCCTGGTTTAGTGCAGGTCTTGTGGGCTGTTCTTGGTCTGCAGTGGTCAGTATCAGTCAGAGGTGGTTTAATCCTGGTTTGTAAACCTGTCTTAGTTCTGAGTTAAACCTGGTTCGGTTTGGGTTTATTCCTGGTGTAGTGCAGGTCTTGTGGGCTAGTCCCAGACTGCAGAGTTTTGTATGATCAGTGGTTTAGACCTAGATTAAACCTTAGTCCTGGTTTAGTCCTGGCTTGGATTTAGTTTGGTTTTGGATTGGACTTGGTTTAGTTCTGGTTTTGTGTGCAGCATTTTTGAGGTTGTACCACTCTGCAAGTAGTCACTATCAGTCAGGTGGTTTAGTCCTGGTTTAGTCCTGGTTAAGTCCTGGTCTTATCCTGATCTTGTCCTGGTTGACACTTGGTTTAGTCCTTGTCTAATCCTTCTCTAATCTCGGTTTGGTCTTGGTCTAATGTTAGTCTAGTCCTGCTCTATTCCTGGTCTACTCCTGGTCTTCTCCTGGTCTTCTCCTGGTCTACTCCTGGTCTACTCCTGGTCTACTCCTGGTCTACTCCTGGTCTTCTCCTGGTGTTGTCCTGGTCTAGTCCTGATCTATCCTTCAGTTAGTCCTGGTTTGTGCAGCTCTTGTGGGGTTATTGTGGTCTGTATCAGTCAAAAGTGGTCTAAATCCTAATCTAGTCCTGGTCTAGTCCTGGTCTAGTCCTGATCTAGTTCTGGTCTAGTCCTGGTCTAGTCCTGATCTAGTTCTGGTCTAGTCCTGGTTTTATAGAGTTACCCAAGAAAGGATCATGCTGATTTTGATTGTTTATTGCTTTTTTTTTTTTTTTTTTTTTTTTTTTGTAAATTTCGCTGGTGGTTTTGATGTTCTGTCCGCTCCTTATGTTTAAACCAGTTTAAAACACGCCCACATTCAGCTCCCGGTGTGTCCGGTCTGCAGCCAGTGTCCAGACTCACAAAACAAAACTCTGTCTTTTTTTTTCTCTGGATCAGTGTCACCGTCCATAAACATCCGACAGTGTGACGTCTGGTTTCCTCCGTCTGCATGGCACCAGTGAACGACTGTGTGGGGCTGGGGACTGTTCAAACCTCTGTCCCGTCTTTAAACCACTGCACTCTCTGGGTTTTTGTCCCATTCCTTTTCCTAAAGTGGGGGCCATTTGTAGGACCAAGGCAAAACAGTTTATATTCTTTTGAAGTGTGACTCCCTAAAGCGTTCTGATTTTGATTGTAAATGTGATCACTTGAGAATCCCTAAGTACTTCTGCTATCAACAATGGATGTTAGAATATGTATTTTCTGTTGGATTTTATTTTATTAACTCCACAAAATAGATTTTACAGCTTAAAGGTGCACTACGTAACTTTTCTGGTGGAGGGTCTGTCAGCTGCTTGTCTAGTGTCATGGGAATATTCTTGCTTTGTCTAGAATGTTCCAAACTAGAGACTAAACCTATTTATCTATATAAGGAGACATCTACAGGCCACATTACAGGTCAGATCTGTGGAGATGCAGCTTTTTTCACTGAGAGTATTATTGTATTTTTGAGTTCTGGTCTAGTCCTGGTTTAGTCTTGGTTTAGTCCTGGTCTAGTCCTGGTCTAGTCCTGGTTTAGTCCTGGTCTACTCCTGGTTTAGTCCTGGTCTAGTCCTGGTTTATTCTTGGTCTAATCCTGGTCTACTCCTGGTTTAGTCCTGGTCTAGTCCTGGTCTACTCCTGGTTTAGTCCTGGTCTAGTCCTGGTTTAGTCTTGGTCTAGTCTTGGTCTAGTCTTGGTCTAGTCCTGGTCTACTCCTGGTTTAGTCCTGGTCTACTCCTGGTCTACTCCTGGTTTAGTCCTGGTCTAGTCCTGGTCTAGTCCTGGTCTAGTCCTGGTCTACTCCTGGTCTACTCCTGGTTTAGTCCTGGTCTAGTCCTGGTCTAGTCCTGGTCTAGTCCTGGTCTAGTCCTGGTCTAATTTTGATCTAGTGTTGGTCTGGGACAATAGAAACACCCAAAATGAATAAATACTAGATCCATGTGTTTAAAGTCATATCATGGAATATTCCAGACAAAGCAATAACATCTCCATGGAGACAAGTAGGTGATGGACCCTCCACCAGAAAAGTTGTGCAGTGCACTTTTAAAGGTAGAGTATGTAGATTTGATTTCAATATTTCTCAGATTTGATGAATATGACCTATAATAATCAAATATAGTGTTTACTGATGACTATTGTAATGATGATTTATTTTTAAATACAAAACATTGGATGTGACGGTCATGTTTCATTTCTCTTTCCTCGCTTCCTTCTCCTTGATTCCTCTCCTCGATTGTGTAGGAAATGTGAGGAAGTCGTGCCCACAGAGGGAGGAGAGAGGATCTAAACTCCTGGCACATGGAGGATTGAGGAGATGAAGCGAGGAAAGAAAACTGAGGCACGGCCGATGTGCAAGTGAAGCTCTGGAGATCAACTGAGATTTGAAAACCTTTTAAAGTGGTCCGAGCACAGTCTACATGCTCTACCTTTAAATGAATTTCAGCTGTCACTAACTAACACTCACTTTGGTGTTAATGGCACTTCTGAAAAACATATCGCCCAACCTGGAGTTTTTCTCACAGAACCGTATTAAATGTGCAGCTAATGCCAACTATTATTGTTCTACTCTAGATAATGAAGAGCCGGGAATAAATCAGGCCTGGTCTGGTCCTGGTCTAGTTTTGGTCTAGTCCTCTTCTAGACCTGGTTTAGTCCTGGTCTAGGCTTGGCCTCAATTTGGCCTAATCTTGGTCTAGTCTTGATCTAGGCTTAGTCTAGTCGTAGTTCAGTCCTGGTTTAGTCCTGGTCTAGTCCTGGTTTAGTCCTGGTCTAGTCCTGGTCTAGTCCTGGTCTAGTCCTGATCTAGTCCTGATCTAGTCCTGATCTAGTCCTGATCTAGTCCTGATCTAGTCCTAGTCTAGTCCTGGTCTAGTCCTACTCTAGTCCTGGCCTCGTCCTACTCTAGTCCTGGTCTCGTCCTACTCTAGTCCTGGTCTAGTCCTGGTCTTGTCCTTTTCTAGTCCTGGTCTAGTCTTGGTCTAGTCCTGGTCTAGTCCTGGTCTAGTCCTGGTCTAGTCCTGGTCTTGTCCTGGTCTTGTCCTGGTCTTGTCCTGTTTCAGTCCTGATCTAGTCCTGGTCTAGTCCCGGTTCAGTCCTGTTTCAGTCCTGATCTAGTCCCGGTTCAGTCCTGTTTCAGTCCTGGTCTAGTCCTGGTCTAGATCATGACGATGTTGTTGTACATCAGTAGAATCACCAAAACTAGATCAGAAACTGTTGCTATAAAACCGTGTACGTCTTCTAAGATTAAAAAAGTGAACAGTCCCCGGCCTTTTCCTCACGTTTCCACCAAACTCTTCCAGCGTGCACATCAGAGTCACCACGTCACCAAAAGTCTGGATCTGTGAAACCTGCTTCGATGGACAGACACTTTACACTTTTTTGGATCTTTTTGCCTTCACCACTGCCAAAGTTTGAACCAGAAGAACTGTCACTGTTTTTCACCTGCAAAACCGAGACTGGACCGGACCAGTCTGACCCAGTCCCAACCATATCGACGCTTCCTTTTTCTGTAACTGCTGATTCAATGCAAATTCTAGGATCATTTTGTGAGTGTAAAAGTCTGATTTTTGGGTGATTTTTGTGAATGAAGAAAAGGGAATCTGTTGCCAAGTACTGTATGATGTTTGGTTTATAATGTGTTTTTAATAAATGTACAGGTAAATGTCTATTGCACATAACTGCCACTGTAAACATAGACAGCAGACTCATGAAAACAGACATTAAAGCCAAATCAAAGCAGTTCATCTTGAAAATCAAATCTTTTAAAGTTTTTAAATTACACAAAATTTATTCTTGTGAGCTTTAAGTCCTGTTTTAACTCTGTGTCCTCCGCAAAAACAGACCTGGACTTGTGTTTTGTTTCATTCACATGTTTGAATAACTCTTTATTATTAGTCTGTCTACATCTCCAAAACTCAAAATGCTCAGTTCCACCTTGTGATGTCATGAAGTGGTAGTTTTCAAGTGAACAGCTCCTTTTCCTTTAGCTCAGTAGAGACTGGAGTTTACATCAGTCCTGGTTTAATCCTGGTCTAGGCAATTGGTCTAGTCCTGGTCCAGTCTTGATCTAGTTTTGGTGTAGTCCTGGTTTAGTCCTGGTCTAGTCCTGGTCTAATCCTGGTTTAGTCTTGGCCTACTCTTGGTCTAGTCCTGGTTTAGTTTAAAAACACAGTGGAGCACTTCCTGTATCACCACATGACATCACAAAGTGGAACAGAGAGTTTTCAGTTTGACAGAAGAGTCTGCAGGATTTGTGTGTTTATGATGATGAACCTGCTCTGTACTTTCCTTCTGTTTGTCTCCATGGAATGTTCCGCTATACAGCATTCTTATTTCAGGTGTAGGTGTTTTTATTGGTAAAAACAAACATTCTCTTTGTGAGCGGGATCTCCTCTCCACAGATCTGACTTGTTACTTGACTCTGTGGTGTGCTTGTGTTTAACATCTTTATGGAGACGATCACTTTTTAAATTTGAGTTGTTTTTTCGAGTTGAATTTGTATTTGTGTGTAGGTATAGATTCTTGTGTCCTGAATCTTCAGTCTTGTGGATACACCAGTGAACTGGTGATGAGGAATAGAAACTCTGTCTGGGTTTACTCAGAGTATCCACGATACTGTGGCCTGCAGAAGCAGGATCCTGAGCTGTACTGAGCATGTGCGAACTTAAATAACAGGTACAGTTTGAGCGCCAACTTTCCCAAAACAACTCAAACTCCTACCAAGACTTTTAAGCCATAATATTTTATACTTTGGACACAACAAAATCCAGGCACTCCAAAAAAGTGAAAGTCACACGAGGAAAAGTCTGGTTAATAGACCTTTATTTAAATGGTCAAAACCAACTATGACTGTTCCTCATCAGGACTTCATTCAAAATTAAAGCATGGACCAACCAACAGTGAGGACAGATGTTTACTAGAGAAAGACAAGGCAGGTCTTTTTCAATCATATTTTATACTTATAAACTAAATAAATAGTGTTTAATACAGCCACATTTGAACACCAGGCTCAGCTCTGTGTCTGTTTGTGTTGCTCTTCAACCAAACTGATGCTGTGACACTGTTGTATTTTTGGTGAGCTCCACAGTCTCATGTTCTTACTTGAATGTATGTTTTCTTTTTTTGTTTTTAGAAACCCATTAAAAAGCCTTAAATTAGTAAAGTTGCTACAACCAGTCTAAATGTCCAGGATACTGATTCCTTGTGTGGACAGGTGCAGAGTGTCCTGGTTTCTCTGAGCGCACAGAAGCACCAGCCAGAACACTGTCAGAACCAGGATAAAACTCAGAACTGGGATACGCACAAAAAAGAAAACAAACATTCGAGTAAGAACGTGAGACTGTGGAGCTCTGTCACAACTTCAGGAAAAGTCACAGACAAAAAATACAACAGTGTGTCACAGCATCAGTTTGGTTCAAGAGCAACACAAAATACCACAGAAGTGAGTCTTAAAATGTGGCTGTATAAAACAGTAGACTGCTTTATTTATATAATATTATTACTTGAAAAGTTCTGGTAGAAGTTTGATTCATTTTGGGAAAGTTGACACTCTTACTGTACCTGTTACTTGAGTTCGCACATGCTCAGTACAACTACAGTTTTGAGAAATCAGGATACTGCATCTACAGGCCCCAGTATCCTGGATACTTACAGGAAAACCCTGTGAGAGTTTCCTGGTTTTTCATAACCGGGATACTGGTGTGTCCAGGAGACTGTAGTCAGGACACAAAACCAGGATACTCCAAAAACCTGAGACTCGAGCACATAAACACCATATCCGGAATACTGTCATAACCAGGATAACATGGAAACTCGAGCTCTTGTAAACGCCCTCACTAAAAGCAGAAGTCCAAAAATCTAGTCCTACTAACTAAATCCAACAGTGAAAAGTGTATCAAATAAAAGTCGTTCTTCTCTTTCTTTAGTGCTCTGTTGTCCTCTGAGCTGCTGTCTATGTCCTCACCACTCACAGTATTTCATTTCATAAACTTGATTTTGATTTTTGTATCTCATTAGAAAAAAACACTCTTTTTCCGTGGACGCATCCCGCAGCAGCAGTAGTTTGTCTCAGGAAGGCCTCAGGCTGGTCCCATGTTACACTCACACACACAGGTCCACATGTCTGAATGTGAAGATGTGGCTCAAATGCAGTCCAATCCTCTCTTTTTATTTATTCAGTTAATTTAACTGTTGTGATCATTTTGTTGTTTTTTCATGTGTTGTTGGTGCACTGGAGAGGAGCGTTTCCACTATTCCAACAGTGTGTCAGTAAAGACGACTGAAATCATGAATTCTGTTGTTGTGATCATTTATTTTACACACACACAGACACACACAAACACATAAAGACAGACACACACAGACACATACAGACACAAACCCACCCACACATGCACACACACACACACACACACACACACACATCCATCCATATATACATACACACACGTACACACACACCCCTACAGACACAAACACACACACACATCAAGACACACACAGACACAAACACACACACGCGCACACACGCACATACACACATACATACATATATACATACACACACGTACACACATATGTACTAGGGGTGGCACGGTTCATGAAAAAAAAACAAAAAACGAACCGTTCGGTTCGCTTTTCACGGTTCGGGACGTGTGCGTACCGTACCGTTTCCACGGTTCTCGGCTTGCGCATTGTAGCCTCGTGCCCGTATGTGACCTGTTTCACTTTGGCGCAAAAGAAGAGGTGTGGAGGGTGGGTGCTGTGCGTCACGTGTAGAAATGCAAATACAACCAAAGATTCATGCTCTGTGTATTTTGATGGGGATGTGCGCGTCAAAAAACAGGATGGATCCTATTTTCTGAAATCTACGCTCGCAGGATGTGCTGCTCCATGTCTAGTGCTTACAGTGGAGCCACCCTCATTCACTTTCCATGCATTCTAAAAGTTAGCGAAATATGCATGCAGTGGAGCCAGGCCCTTAAACTTGCAGCCAAGAGCACAATCTCACTAAACCAAGTATCCCGACTCCTGAGGAGGGTTAGGGAGGTGGAAACATTTTTTCACCGAAGCACAACAGCTGCCTATGTCCAATAATAATGTGCTTAAAGTCAAGTCAAATTCAGTTTGTGCATGATTACATTACTAACTATAATTTTATGACTTTTTTAATGCTGTATCCTAAATTGTGAATAATTAAGCTAACATAGCATATGATGAAGTATATTTCTGGAGATTAAAGGTTGTATGGAGGATTTTTTTTTTTTTCAAGTTGTCAATGATAGATTATAGAGGTGCAGTAGCCTTGTAATTATGATGACCAAAAAAAAGAGAATAGAAATTCATCAACTCTGGACGTGGTGGGGCTAAACATTTGCCAATAGATAACGACACTGCCTCGTTATCTGTGAGCTGACAGGCTGTCAATCAAACTCCCTACGTTTCTAGTGTAACTGACTTGCCTGCGCGCTGCCATTACGTGGTTTACGTACGACTGTCACGCAGTCACAGACGCACAGACGCTGTTTACTCCACCAACGCAACAGTTCTTAGCGGCTTTTTTTGACCTATATCTTCCTCACAGTTAACACAAAGTTTGTTGCAATGGCGACAAGAATCCAGGAGCAGTTCGCCGCAAAAGAAAGTCCGTTTTTGAGATTGCTGAAAGAAGAAGACAAGGGGAAAAGCAGCGAAGCCAAACTAAGGTGATTCTTGTAGATTCATTCCAGCGATTCCGCGACTGAAGCAGACGCAGGGTCTAAAGACTGATGCATTGGTCCACAAATGACTCCTGGACAGGAAACTTCTGCTTATTATGAAAACCTACTTTATTTCCAAGAGCGAGACAAACGTTTTTCAGGACACAAAAGCGATATCCTATGTCTGAAAATGTAATTTTCAAGGCAAAGAAAGAGTCCGCTTGCTGCTGCGTGTTGTAGCTAGTTCATTCGCACTGAATCTCCGCGCACTCTTCTCTGCTCCCCTTTCCTGCTCCTGTCCCCGCTGCCCGATCCGCTCTTCTCCCTGCTCCTCACTTCTCCGGGCACGAAATGTCCGTGCCCCCCCTCCCCCCGCTCCTCACTTCTCCGTCTTGCCTAACCAACACTGTAGTTAGTTGTTTACAAGTCATGTGCAGCACCGGCTGTAAACAAACCTGTTTCTGGCGTAAGGAGGAGGCGGGAGGAGGCGTTTCTACGTAGGAGCTGTAGGGGAGGGGGGGGGGTTTCACGCATGCGCAACATTTGAAAAAGGACAAACAGTCGCTGGATTTCTCGTTCCTTGGAAAATCCTCTATACAACCTTTAAAGATTAAAAAGAAAAAAAATGACAACAAGAACCGTACAGAAGGAAAAAACGTGACCTTAAACCTCAATACAAACCGAACCGTGAATTTTGTGGCCTGTGCCACCCCTAGTTCTGAGGGAGTTTTTTTGTATTTTCAAACTCAACTGCTCTTTTTACTGTGATTTTGACTGTGATCATGGCACTGACTGTCTTTTAACTGCATATCCAAGTATCCAGCAAAGCAAAGGGTGGACAAAATAGATTTTACATACATTTCAGGCCAATTATTTTCCTGGTTTTCCAGCATTTCCAGGATCCATGCAAACTATAAGCAGTATGATTACTAAGTTACAGAATAAGTAATGATATTTTGAAAATGCCCCAATGTAAGAAACACTTGATCTTAAAACAAAAAATGAATTATTAAAGGAAAGGAAGAAAAAAGAAACATTGTTACTGATTTTCTAAATAATAAACGTCTTGTGAAACTGAACTACATGGATAATATTTCCTTTGTCTTTTAAAATAATAATTTAAAAAAATGACAGCAAAATGGTTTCCCTAATTGCTAACGTCTGCTTTTCCATTACTTAAATAAATGAAATTATTATTAAAACTTTTATTGAAATAGTTTGATTATTTCACCAGCTTGTGATAACGTGTTCAATTGTTTAGAGCTTCCGTGTTATTACACAGTGTTCATTCCAAATTTCACTATAATACATGAATCTTATGACAGACAAAAACTTAGGTGGCGGAAGACGTCTGTAGCCACAGTATGAAGTAGTCAAATACAGTGTGAGTGAAAAGCAAGAAGAGCAAAATGTGACTACACAGTTCTTATTGACATATTGTTAAAAAAAAAAAAAAAAGGGTTATAGGTGAGTTTGTAGTAAATTTAAATTAGAAAACTTAAGGGAAAATAATAAAAAGTGTCCCAAAAATATTGGCAGAGCTTATTTGCCATCTGTTGCTCTAGATTCTAAACAATCTGTATTGAAAAAAAAACAAACATTTAGAGTCATTTGAAATGGCTAATTTGCTTCTTTATTTACAATTTATTTACAGGACCTGTGTGTTGTGCCTTAACTCATTTATACAGACACGGGTTATGATGAGGTTGAGACTGGAGGGTGACTTACTTCTTGTTTTTCTTGTCTGCTTCAGCTTGGAGCTCCTCTGCTTTGATCTGCTGCAGCTGATCATCTAACTTATTCAGGGACAGCTGCAGCTCTTCACATCTGAGGAGAGCAGAGGTTTTCTCCTCCTCACTGTGTTTCAAAGCCGTGTTCAGCTCCTCAATAGTTTTCTGGTGGAATATGTTCTCCTCCACCGTGGCCTTGCGGATGGAGTTACATTTTTCTACTACAGCTATGAAACTCATTTTCTGTGAGTACAAATCATTTTGTAATTTCTGAACTTTGTTGTGCTCACTGTTCAAACTCTCCTCCCGCTCCTGTGCCTTGCTGAGGGCCTCTTCAGCTGTCGGCTCCTGCTCAGTGAGAGCAGACTCTAGAGTGAGGACCTGTTTGTTCCAGGTCTCCTCAACTGTCTGTATCTCTACTGCAAACGTTGACTCCAGGGCGAGCCACTGCTTGTTGAGGGCCTCTTTAGCAGAGTGTCTCTCTGCTGCAAGGGTAGACTCAAGATGGTAAACTTGTGCCTTCAGGGCCTCTTCAGCTGACCGTGTCTGCTCAACAAGGGCAGACTCCAAGGCAGTGACCTTCCTCTGCAGAGCCTGCTTCTCCTCGAGTGCCTTCTGGAGCTCCCGTTGGGTGCTGACCCGAAGCTTCTCTTTTTCTCCCCCTTCTCAATGGCCTCTTGCAGATTAGTCTTCAGTGCCCTATTCTCTAGTTTCTCTATCATTGTTTCTGTGAGAGAATTTCTATGTTATTTTAAGTGTTATAAATCATTTAACGATGTAATCATTTGTGTGTGTGTGAGAATAAAGTTACCAATAATTGTTATTTGGGTTTTTCCATATATGCAATCATATGACCTAGTTAAGGAGTTCTTGAATCATTAAGCTAATCTATTTATCTTCCATGAGAAAAATGATTAAGGGCTTTCCCCATCATGTGTTCAACATAAGTTTTTGGGTAGAATTCCCTGACATTTACTTGGTCCTTCGGAGCCGAGTTCCGGGTGCAGCTCAGCAGTGGGTGATCATCGTAGACTGCAAGTCTGTGCGCACAGCCGGGGTGAGAAGTAGCTGCCTCGACTAAGACCACTTTTCTCATGGCCAGTACACGGAGATCATCCTTCGCTGGTGCTGCCGACGGAATTCGAAAACCTTCATTGTGTTGAGACCAGGGCCAGGTCACAGAGACCCGGTTAGAGAAGTAATTCTAACTGAAACAAAGTAGAACAGTCATCCGTATGAGACCAGAAAGGTCAAAAGGACATAGTTAGAATAAAGTAACTTTCTAACTGGGTGACTAGAGCGAAATGTTTAAAGGCCAGGTCAAGACATAGTTAGAATAACCCAGATTTCTAGCTGAATGAAGTAACGGTCGACCAAGCAGACAGAAAGCCTAGGGAAGACTGACAGACCTTTTTTGGACTATTTTTTTCTGTTACAAACCCGTCAGTGTCTGACAATTGAAAGACAAACTTTATAAAACAGCAGTGAGTTATACACCCAGTTTCAAGCCGCTCGTAAAGAGTAGAAGCTTGTTTGAGACGCTGTTATAGAAGCAGAGAAACAGAGGCAATTGTTCTAGTTAAAAAAACTGAGCCCTCCATAGGCTGAAGGCTAGTGAAAGATCTAAGAGCAGATCCGAAGTAAAATACTTAGGACATAACTTAAATGCTCAAGGGAGAATTGCTAGCTCTGATAGGAAGTTAGCAATACAAAAAATACAAAACCAATCACTAATAAATGATGGCTTTTCTAGGATTGTGTAACGGCTACAGGGCTTGATTACTGGATCACGCCCTCCTCGCAAAGCCACTTCAAGACTTGATTTTTTCTGAACCTAGGGAAATG